CAAATGATTTAACGTTTAATGAAGCAGTTACATGCCTGACGGAGCTTTTCAGCCTGAAAACGTCACTCTTTCACAAAAGGTGGAAATGTCTTAACCTTGTAAATGATGAAAATAAGGACTACTCCACGTTCGCCGCAATCGTGAACAAACATTGCGACGATTTCAAGTTGGCAGAATTAACTCCAGACAATTTCAAGTGTCTTATTTTTGTACAAGGGTTAGTCTCAGCAAAATATAGTGAAATACGCAAAAGAATGCTTTCAAAACTGCAAAATGAACCTGGATTAACACTACAAAAACTATCGGAAGACTGCCAAAAATGCCTGAGCATAAAAAAGACTCGAAGGATATTGAGGAACCAGGAATATCACATATACGTAAGTTAAACAAAAGTTTACGTTTCTCACCCTCCCCGGAAAGAAAACAAAAATTCTATAATAATGAAAAAAGTACAATGTATAGGGCAAATAATGACGAAAATCAAAGTAAATATAAGCCTCCTCCATCTGTATGTTATCGATGTGGAGGACTACACTGGAATAAGGATTGTCGTTTTAAATATAAAAACTGTCTTGCGTGTGGAAAAACAGGTCACAAGGCATCCCAATGTAGGAACAGAAAATTTACTGGTAGGATAAGAGCTACTAGAATGCATGACGAAGACAATGCTAACATAATGAAATATGTGGAACTGGAAATCTTAAATAAAAAGATAAAATTGCAACTTGACTCAGGTTCCGATATAACGATAATTAACCTACAGACATGGAGAAAGCTTAATAGACGAAACATGTTACATACACAAAAAATTGCTAAGTCTGTTACAGGAAAGCGTATAAAATTCGAAGGAGAAGTAATCCTAAATGTAAAATTTCACAGGAAAACAAGAAAACTCAAAATGTTCGTAATGAAAGGTACCGAAAATCTGGTGGGAACGCACTGGATGCAAAAATTCGATGTATGGGATTTACCTATCAGTTCGTTTTGTAGGGGTGCAGCTAGAATTGAATTAAAAGAAAATGTCCAACCAGTATGTAAAAAGAAGCGAAACGTGCCACTTGATAAGTTATTGCCTAACAAGAAGAAACACCAGCATACACCTATAGTACCCAAGAGATCATTTAAACCTGGAGAACGGGTTTACTTTAGGATGTTCAGGAACAATATGTTCAGGAACAATATGGCTTACTGGGGGCCTGGCACAGTAATTAACAGACTAGGAAATGTGATGTACACAGTACAAGGCGAAAAGTTTACCCACAGAAGACATATTGACCAAATACAAAAAAGACGGGTCGAAGAGCCAAGCTCGTCATCCGCTGAAAATGACGATTCAATGAATGCAATCTTTGAAGCTTTTGAGATTCAAAGACCACAAGAACTAGAAGGTCAAACAAGAAGAGAAAATTTACCGAACCTCTGATTATCGACCATAAGAGAAAAAGATATTAACTCCCTCCCAGAAAGAGATCTAAGAAGTGGGTGTTGAGGGGTCCACCCCTTTTTACACAAATAGACTCACCCAGTATATACATATACTACTGCTATGGGAAGACCCGAGAGTAAGAAGAGTGTAAAACGAGAGCTAGACCGAAGAGTCGAGTCGAGTCCAGAGTGACTGAGTAAAAGGTTGTAGGTAAGGTTACTGAAAAGAATAATTACACAAAAGTTTGCTAATGAATGATAATACTTAGGCCAAGAACAACACATATATGATTCGCCAGCGGCGCGTAGAAGTAGTCAACTACTATAAGTGAGTCAAGTGAATTCCACAATAAATCTCCGTAGACTCGGTCAAAAATTCCCCGTAGATCCCGTCTAAAACTGGGTCAGGTAGAAGTTTCCCATCGACAGAGCCTCATCTGGAGATCCTCTCTGCCTGGAGGCAGGGTGTTTGACCAGCACAGCTGGAGACGAATCTCATACTGTAGGATATCGACCAACCGCCCCACGTGGTCAGATGTGGCACAAGGCCGAATTTAATGTGGGGTATCCGAGCCAGTAGGATCGGCCAATAATTCCCCGTAGTCCCCGTATAAAACGGGGTCGGGTAGCTGTTTCCCCGAGACGAGACTCTGCCTTTCGACAGAGCCTCGTCTGGGGATCCTCTCTGCCCGGAGGCATAGAGTTTTACCAGCACAGTTGGAGACGAATCTCCGACAGCATACTTATTTACTACTGTATTTATGTGAATGGGGACATACACATTATCGTCCGTAGGCATGCTACAACATAAACTAACATAAGAAATAAAACCTTCGTGAACATAAGAACTATGGTAAAAATTTTCTCTTTCTTGATCGTCTGTTCTGTTCAATATTATTGAAGTCCATTTTTGATATTCCAGCAATTTCATGTACAAAGGAATCGGTGCATTCAATTGGAATGTCTTTAATTGGAGTTTCTTTCTTACTGTGAAAACAAAATTCTCTCAATGTACTTAGTTTCCTTCCGTAGTGAAGGGATAAAAGTTATGACATAAATATATGAATATCAAACAGAAGATTTTAGGGTTTCGTTTTTTATGTCACCTTGATTATGAGGTTTACTAAAGTGTATTACTGATAAAATAATGAAATTGAATGCAAAAACACGTTCAAAGCAAGGACCCTCACAATGAGGGCACCTGTTCAGAGAAAAGTGAAGGACTGCTCGGTAACTAGAGCGGGAATAGCTTGATTCCTTTTTTTTAATGTTACAAAGCCATTTTACCCACTAAGATCTTAGACTTCGATCAGTTGCCAAATTTGCTTTGTTTACGTTACGGACACGAAACTGAGCAGTTATATATTAAAAATAACGTTTAAAGTGAAATATATATATATATATATATATATATATATATATATATATATCCCCAAATGAGAGAAAGAACAATGGAGTAAAAATCCACAATTCAAAGCGTTTACTTTGAAAAAAAAATGCTCAATACAAAGTAGAGTAAAATATTATTATAAGATATTATAATAAAAATATTATTTATTATAAGATATTATAATAAAAACATTTTAAATCGCGACACAAAAGCTTTCATGTTTCAATACTATTCTTGTACTTCTTCAGGCGATAGTAGCTAACTGGTTAAAAAATGATTTCTTAGGGAAATTTCCTTGTGTTCATAAGAACTATGGTAAAAATTTTCTCTTTCTTGATCGTCTGTTCTGTTCAATGTTATTAAAGTCCCTTTTGATACTCCTACAATTTCATGTACAAAGGAATCGGTGCATTCAATTGGAATGTCTTTAATTGGAGTTTCTTTTCACTTGTGAAAACAAAATGCTCTCAATGTGCTTGGTTTCCTTCCGTAATGAAGGGATAAAAGTGACGGGATGAATTTATGAAAGTCAAACAGGAGATTTTAAGGGTTTCATTGTTTTTGAAGTCACCTTAATTATGAGATTTAATAAAGTGTATTACTGATAAATTTTATCAGTTAATTTGAATTTTGGCGATAAATTGGAAAAATATCTATTTTAAAATTTTTGACTCAAAAACACTTTTTTATTATAAAAATAGTTTATTTCAGGTGGCAGACATATATTGCTCGGCCTATTTGAAAATTGATGGATTTCTTTCAACATTATTAACGAAATTTTGCGATCAGCCAAGATCACAAATTGATCTTTATTTTTCCAAAAATGAGCAATTTCAATATAGCAAAAGTGGTAGTTAACCATAAAAAAAAAAAAAAACTAAAGTCATTTTTGGAACCAGCACTATCAAATTAGCTAAAAAAACTGTTTTATTTTTTGGCACCAAAAACCGTTTTGACCAGTGTTAGTCAAGTTAAACTTGTACATACGTATTGGTGGGAGTCATAACAAGAATGACATCTTTGCTTCTCATGTTAATTTCAACCAGTAACGTCAATATTGATTGGTTTGAAAATAACCAATCCCCTTAGATTGGTCTATTTAACCCTCGTCTCAATTATCTATCTAATCATGACAATCAACTGCGATCAGAGGAAAGAATTAAATATTGATTTTTTTTCTTCTCAAAAGTTGAAATACTCGTTGTCAGTTACGGCAGATGGAAGCTATTGGTGTATTAAACGTAATTTAGGCTGAGGATTTCTAATTTTGACTTGCAAATTCTTAAACAGTCAAGGGTCAGGAAGATGACAAAAGAAAGGAATGAGTCACGTTCCTTCAGTGCGGAGGATAATTTAGCATCACAGAACACATACCGGAAGTCAGACTCAGTGGTCATATATCGAAGATAATACAAGTATATATATATATATAATATAATATAAGTATATATATATATATAAAACAGAAAAAATCAATGTTTTTTCTTTTTGAATTTTTGTAGGTCTCTGATGAATTGATCGTAGATTTTTTACGATTCCAATGGAATAAACTATGACCATGGAATATTAATGTTTAAGCCTTTTATATATATATATATATATATATATATATATATATATATATATATATATATATATATATATATATGGGCACCTCGAGGTGGTTTAATGGTTAAAGACCCGCAATTACGACTGTATGTATGCATGTATGTATTTTTTTAGTGGCATATGATTATTCGTATGAAAATCATCAATCACAATGCATGTCACTGACAAGATTTCAAGAAATTGTGTAGATGGTCTTGCGGAATAAATAACACGAGAGAATTGAGTAAAATATAATATATTTAAAAAGATGCTGCACATACATATATTTTTGAATTATCAAAATCTGAAAAGAAAGCAAAAAATTAAACAAAATCAGGATAAAGAAAAAGACAAAAATGAGATGAGTGAAAAGTTTCAAATAAATGAGTAAAATTAAAATATGATAAAGTTAAAAATATAAAAATGATCTGTCACTGACAAATTTCAAAAAATTTCTCAACAATGAAAATGGAAAATATTTTGAAATTAAAAAATAAAAAAAAAAAAAAAAAAAAAAAAAAAAAAGATGAAATGGAAAAAAGAAAAAAAATGTACGCAAAGTAAATGAAGAAATGGAAAATATTTTGGAAGGAGTCGATTAGTAAAAAAAAAAAGCAAAAAATAAAAAAAGAGGAGAAGAAAGAACGAAAGGTGGAGATGAAAATAAAAAGAAAGGACTATATAGGAAAAGGCGTTGAAGTAAAGGTGTACGAGAAACGGGAAAGAGAGAAGTGAGGAGGAGAGTTAAAAAAGAGGAAGAAAATAGAAAAAGAGAAGAGTAAAAGTAAGAGAAAGGCGGGTAAATTAGGAAAAGGGAAAGAGGAATAAAAGAAACAATTAGGGCAGAAGTAGGAGAAACAAAAAATAGTTTAGGAGGATAAATGGTTAGAAAGGAGGGCAAGCAATAGAAGAAAGGGAGTAGGGACAGGAAAAGAGAAAGAGTGGTAAGAGAATATCTGGAGACGTATGGGGAATGGCAGAAATAGCAGAAACGAAATGGGAGATAATAAAAAGTTAGGAGGAATAAGAGAGAGAGAGAGAGAGAGAGAGAGAAAGGGACAAGAAAATAGAGAAATAGAAGAAAGGAAGTTGGGGTAGGAAAAGAAAAAGAGCAATACTAAAAAAGGGAGAGGGGCAGAATAATGGGAGAATTAGGAGAAAGAGGAGAGCAGAAAAGAACTAGTGAAAAGAGAGAAGTGTAGGAAAATAAATAAAGGAAAGAGAGAGGGGCTAAGAAAAGTGTAGGAGGAATAAGAGAGAGAGAGAGAGAGAGACAAAATGGAAAAAAGAAGGAAGTTGGGAAAATAGAGAAATAGAAAAAAGGAAGAATTGGGGTAGGAAAAAAAGAAAGAGCAATACTAAAAAGAGAGAGAGCGACAGAATAATGGGAGAATTAGGAAATGAAAAAAGAGGAGAAAAAAGAGCAATAATAAAAAAATTTACTAGAGGGGCAGAAAAGAACTAGTGAAAAGAGAGAAAATAAAATAAAAAAAGGAAAGAGAGAGGGGCTAAGAAAAGTGTAAAGGAGGAATAAGAAAAGAGATTTAGAGGAAATAGAACAAAGGGAAGTTACAGAATGATAAAAAAAAGAGAAATAAAGAATTAGGAGGTGAAAAGAATAGAAGAGGAAAGAAAAGTTAGGAATAAGAGAGATTTCTTAGAATCAAGAAATTTAGGGAAGACAGAAGTAAAAGAATCGAAGTGGGATAATAAAAAGGATAGGGAGAATAAAAGAAAGAGAGAAGCGTATGACAGTGAGGTAGGAGAAGGAAGAAGAAATCTTGGTTCTTTTCGTCACTAAATTTCGGCCTTTTGACCCTTCGTCCTTTCTCTTCAGTCACCTGTAGCAATTGGTGTGGAGTGTAAAGCAAAGATGTCTACCACTGCTCGATGCCAATGAGGAAACACCTGATCGTGACTTTTTTTTAAGCTATTAAAGCTGGATGAGAATGAAAAGTAAAGATCCTAGTTCAATGTTGTGATTATTGTAAATGGCAAACATTCAAATAACATACATTCATTTTTATTGAAAAACAAGTGAAAAAAAGGCAAAAAATCTACCCGAATTAATTCCATTACCCACTAACTCAATGTGAGTACAACACTTCCATTACCCACCACCCCATATATATATATATATATATATATATATATATATATATATATATATTATTTTAATTTAAATAACTACAAACCACTTTAAGATTCCATATAATAAATTATTTCACCACAGCCCTTTTAAAAGGACTGCAAATCATCAGACTATACTTCCAAACAAAAAAATGAAACGAAAATTTACACATTTTTGACGGGCCGTATTAAACATATGTAAATTGACGAAGTGAGGGGGAGAGAGAAGACATGAGTGAGTTAGCAGATATTGACACATTTAAACGGTTAACTTAACGGAAGTTATATATTGATATCGAAGGGGTAGAGAAGAAAAAACTCATAGAGAGAAAAAGAGGGAAGGAAGTTAAGAGAGAAGATGTCACTAATTTTCTTTGTAAAAAAGGCTAGAAACAGAGGCTGTTATTTTGCTTTACTTTGAAAGTGTTATTTTGGGAGTTCATATAAAGATTATAATGTTTAATATAATATATATATAAAAGTGAATATTGAAGTCAACATTCAGAGGCGACTGGCTGTTGCCTCTGTGTGTTGACTTCAATATTCACCTTTTATTTACATACGCTCTATCTCTGATATTGAGCACTTTATCCCATAAATATAGAACACCTTAAAACTATATTTGTTCATATATATATATATATATATATATATATATATATATATATATATATATATTTATTTGGATTGATGTGAGTTTGTGACCCTGGGTTTCACGCTTTTTTGCGATCGTCAGACAAACTGTCTAACGATCCCAAAAGCGTGAAGCCCAGGTCACAAACTCATATCAATCCAACCAAATATATTACCTCTATCTCTATGATATTGAGCGCTTTCTAATAAGTACCATATAATATATAATATATATATATATATATATATATATATATATATATATATATATATATATATTATATTTATTTACACACACTTTTCACACACACACACACACATATATATATATATATAATATATATATATATATATATATATATATATATATATATATATATATATATATATATATATATATATATATATATACAAACACGTCTTTGCTATCTTATTTTTTTCTTATATTTTTCAATATTCTTCATTCCCCAGTTATTCTTTAGAGGGTTAATATTCTCTAATATTGTTATTTAATACACATTTCCCCCTTTAAGATAGGTATTTCACACATTCCCTGACCCCTGTCTGTTATCTATCGTTTGACTTATACATCGAAAAGTATGAACTCATATATATAATATATATATATATATATATATATATATATATATAATGTTCAACATATATATAATATATATAATATTTTTGACATATTAAAGTTTAGATTGACACTCTTCAATATTACTTCCTGTATAATTAACTCTTACTTCCTGCATCTTCAAATTCTACGCACGTCAATCACATTTTATATTTTGGGTTTAAAAGGCAGACGACCACTTTTATCGTCTGCTGAAATAGACATTAGGATTATAGAGTTGAAATAGATATTAGAATCAACTGGAAAATGAATACTAAATAGAAAATGAGTGATAAGCCTCTACTCTCGATGAAAAAAAACAGGGAGGAATATAGTCTTAAGATGTGGTATATTTATGGGATAAAGTGCCCAATATCAGAGATAGAGCGTGTGTAAATATAAAAGTGAACATTGAAGTCAACACTTAAAGGAGACAGTCTGTTTTATGCTAGATGCATGGCCTGATGACTGCATCTAGCATGAAACAAACTGTCACCTCTAAGTGTTGACTTCTATGCTCACTTTTATATACATACATACATACATACATACATACATACATATATATATAAATATATATATTATAAATTTTGATCTAAAAATATAAAAACGGTACTATTACTCATGCCAATATATAAGTAGTTTAGTATTTAGTAAATACATTCTATTAAATGGGCATAATAATAATTCTTAGTAGCAATATATTAGGTATTCGTAATAAAGTAAACTCGCTTGTTAACATTTATTTAAAAAAAAAGCAATCGATATATACCACGACTTATGTGAAAATAATAATCATTATGACAATATAAAGATAATAGCTGCATACGAATATAATAAAAATATAAAATAATAAACAAAGAAAAAAGTAAGAATAAGCGAATAAATAAATCAAAAGGCATCACTTCTCTTCTTTATTCTGACTACTCTCCTTGAACATCAAGTGGCAGTTTTCACACCAGACACAGTTGTTCGGCAACGAGCCATAACAGCCAGTATTGAGAAATTTCTCATTCGCAATCAACTGAGTTGGGTATCTCAGGATAACGGAAGATGAGAGATTGCCGAAGCACCTGTTTAATGAAACGCTTGCTCTTGGTTAGTGCCCCACACACAAACTGAAAAAAAAAAAAAAGTTTCAATTATATTATTAAAAACAACAAAGAAAAACCTGAAATTAGTATCAAAGACTGATAAAAAAAAAAACAAAAAAAACGCAGAGAATATAGCTGGTTGGAAAAAGTTTGTTTTTGATTCTTGTAATCGTTTTGAAGTCAAAATGGTCGAGCATTTCACGTTGAAAAGGAGCTCATAGAAAAGGGGATCTCGACACGATTCCAAAGACCTTGTATATAATATCTGCCGGAAGATGAAAATCGGCAGTTTAATGCCGACTATGTGAATGTCATTGCTGACAGACATGCAGGGTACTTATGACAGTTTTTTGATAAAGTTCAATTCAAGAATCGTTAAATGACTTTCGCGTATTACATATGTAAAAAGATATGCAGGGGCGAGGCTGGTTTGCCAAGTCATCTGAGGTTCATTTCAACGTTGACGGAATGGCCTTTTCCTGTAAAGAAGTGGCAGGTATAACATACACATATATATATATATATATATATATATATATATATATATATATATATATATATATATATATATATATATATCATATATACACAGTATTTATTAGAAAGTTTTCAATATCAGTGATAGATCTAACATATTCATATTTTGTGTACCTGGCTTTCACGCTTTTGCGATCATCAAACGTGAAACCCAGAGTCACAAGCTCATATCCACACAAATATATATATATATATATATATATATATATATATATATATATATATATATATATATATGTAAGCAAATATATGGATATAGATCCGACAGTATGAAGAAGAATATATACATATATAACAAACAAAAATATATATCAATATATATCAATATATAACAAAAATATATATATATATATAACAAACAAAAATCCTTATACACAATTATGCTGTTTTAAAGTTAATATGTCAACGTCGGGCGTTTCGGTCTAATAAACCATCTTCAGGACATATTCATAAATTATAACATTATCAATTATCTTTGTCATGTTGCATTGATAATAACTATGATTAATTAATGATGGACATGTCATTTCGATTTCATCATGATTCTTCTGTTAAGCTTAGAGAGTAATTATACATTATTATTGATCAAAGTAGAGTTAAATAGTGTTATAAAAATCTCGGAGAATTTCAGTAACATAACTTTAATAATTCCTAAGATAAACAGTGCAAGGCTTTTATCTGACATATGGACGCTATATATATATGTCTAAATGAAGAGAAAGAACAGAGAGATTAAGAAGCCGCAGTTCTTAGCATTTACTTTTTTATCAAATCAAGAGAAAGAACAGCGATATAACATATAATTCAAGCAGGAATCAAAACACGACAGATATGGCATCAGTCAGATATTCTAACACTAAGCTATCGGCGCACGTTTAGAGAAAGAACATTTTTACGTATTATATACAATCTGTATTCATATATATATATATATCCATATATTTGGATATGTCGATATGCCATGATATTATATCTATATCTATCTATCTATCTATCTATCTATCTATCTATCTATATATATATATATATATATATATATATATATATATATATATATATATATATATATATATATATATAAATTTTTTCATATAGACAAAAACAATTTACTTACTGTTTTTTCTTTATATGAAAAAATTATAATAAATAATTATTGATCTTCTATCGGTATTGAGCCCTCTTTTGAATTAATGCTGTGAACGTTAGAATTTATATATAATTTTCGTTCTCATTACATTCGGATATATATATATATATATATATATATATATATATATATATATATATATATATATATATATATATATATGTTTATATTTCCATAATATTTGTGTATACATTTGTATCATATTTATAATTACTTTGATGTTCATATTTATTTTTGAATTAAAGTTACATTTTTTTTTATTTAGTGTTATATACATTGTGTAGTGTGTGTTTATGTGTAGATGTGGATGTATTATTTGTTTGTTCTTAGTTATATTATTTTCTTTTACAATTAATTTTTTTTACAATTATATATTTTTTTACAAACCAGATAAATAATATGAACTGCTTCATTATTACGATTGTCCGGTATATATAACACATTTTAAAATATGTAAACGTCAGGCTTCAATCAACATCTGACAATTGCGTTGTACATGAAACTTAGAATTGTGCTACCGATGAGGAAATTATTTATTATTAACGTATAAAATGCAACTATGTTATTCTATATTAAGCACGGGTTGAGGAATAGGGGAGCTAATTGGAAAAGATATTAATCGTCCTCTTCACCCACCATGGCTAAATAGCAAGACAGGCTTGGATGGCAACTGGTCTAGGAGAAAGACAACTTTGAAATTAAAACCTGCAGAGAATCGTTTGGGGACATTTGGCACGTAGTGCACCAGGTATCTGTATTTGTTCCTTCAAAAACTGTGGATGGTTCTGCACAAAACCTTCGCCACTATAATCAAATCATGGCTGCGGGTTACGAGGAACTGATCTGCTTTACTCTCATACGTCGAGAGAGACCACCATATAAATAAATATATAAAGTCATCCACAGACAGACTGTTTCGCTGGTTCCGAACTCTTCAATGTCGCTAGACATCCGGTTGCTTCTAGCTAGGATCGAAACCTGACAGAATTGGTGTCAGTCAGAGATTCTACCACTAAGCTGGCAGGGATGAATGTGAATTTTAGCGTATTTATTTTTAGATGAACACACACAGTGACCGACAGTGACTCAATTCGATTTTGCCGAAGAGTCTCGCTATAATAAGAAGAGTCTCGCTTATAATATCTGTGTGTTTGTGTACCAAAACATTATATTACATCACCAACCTTTATTAAACCTATTCTTAAAGAATCTTACGTATACATAACGACCGGTGTTGTAAAAAGAAACATTACAAAAATCATCTTGATGACAACCTCCAAACATAAATAATAATGCCTACGAGACTCACACAACACAAACACAAACGCGCAAGCATACGCACACACGCACACACAAACACACATATGCTTTTAGTCATTTTTTTTCTGACTTCTCCCCCCTCCCTTATATCGGTTTGTTCAAATAGATTTTTATTTGCAAATTTTATTATCCGGGTTCTTTTTTCACACCATCCGAGTATAGGTATTAAAATCAACACACACACACACACACACACACACACACACACACACACACACACACATATATATATATATATATATATATATATATATCCGATGCAGTGAGAACGAAAGTAATATATATATATTCTAACGCTGACAGCATTAATCTAAAAGAGGGCTCGATATTGATAGTAGAGCGATAATTATTTATTTATTATAATGTTATCATATAGACAAAACTATTTAACTCTCTACAAAGATGCAACTTCGTTTCAGTGCATTTCAACTGCACTTCGGCTGGTGAGAACCGAAAATAACCATAACCCTAACTCTAACCCTAACATGTTTGATTTATATACATTTCCTGCTTGTTATTCAGCGTATGATTCTGTCAGATTCCGATCCATATTTATCCAAATTCATATATGTTTAAACATAAATTTATATACATATATATATATATATATATATATATATATATATATATATATATATATATATAAAAATAATGAAAATCTTAGTAATCTGTATGGAATGGATAATCCAAAGGAGGATTAAAACCTAATTCCATCTGTTATTTCTTACATCTTTACTTCTCTCTTTTTTCTCACTATGTCATTTCCTGTGAGATGACCTATTAAATACGTCAATATCTGGTACTTACCCACTTCCTCTCTATTAAGTATTGTAATAAAAACAAATTTAAAATCATTCCTGTCTCTCCCTTCCATCTCTAATTTCGACCATGTCTGTCACCATCTCTCTCGACTCTCTATATCAACTTACATTAATTAATACACCCCACCTCAAAAGTATGTAAAAATATATGTAAATTTAAATTCATTTTTTTCACCCTTGGAAGTATGGTCTGATGAGCCAGGGAAAAAGAAATTATCTT